TTTTTGGGTCCCACCTGGTGTTGGGGATGGCCTCCCAGCTGAGCCGGGATTTTGGGGTTCCCAGTGACATTTTGGGGACATTCAGGACGTTTTTGGGTCCCACCTGGTGTTGGGGATGGCCTCCCAGCTGAGCCGGGATTTTGGGGACATTTTGGGGCCATTTTGGGGACATTTAGGACATTTTTGGGTCCCACCTGGTGTTGGGGATGGCCTCCCAGCTGAGCCGGGATTTTGGGGCCATTTTGGGGACATTTAGGACATTTTTGGGTCCCACCTGGTGTTGGGGATGGCCTCCCAGCTGAGCCGGGATTTTGGGGACATTTTGGGGACATTTAGGACATTTTTGGGTCCCACCTGGTGTTGGGGATGGCCTCCCAGCTGACAGGCGAGATGAGCTGGATGCTGAAGGCCTCCTGCTGCGGGGGGACGTAGCGCTCGTCTGGGGACACACGGGGACACGTCAGGGACCGGGACACCGGGACTGGGACTGGGGATACTGGGGAGACTGGGACTGGGACTGGGGACACTGGGGACACTGGGACTGGACACTGGGGATACTGGGATTGGGATTGGGGACACTGGGATTGGGGATCAGGGACACCAGGACTGGGACTGGGGACACTGGGGACACTGGGGAGACTGGGATTGGGGACTGGGGACACTGGGGACACCGGGACTGGGGACTGGGGACACTGTGGACACTGGGGAGACTGGGATTGGACACTGGGGATACTGGGATTGGGATTGGGAACACTGGGGACACTGGGGACACTGGGATTGGGATTGGGGACTGGGAACACTGGGGACACTGGGATTGGGGATACTGGGACTGGACACTGGGGATACTGGGATTGGGATTGGGGACACTGGGGACACTGAGATTGGGATTGGGGACACTGGGGAGACTGGGACTGGACACTGGGGATACTGGGATTGGGGACTGGGGACACTGGGGACACTGGGATTGGGATTGGGGACACTGGGGACACTGGGGACACTGGGATTGGGATTGGGGACACTGGGATTGGGGACCGGGGACACCGGGACTGGGATTGGGGACACTGGGGACACTGGGGACACTGGGACTGGGGATACTGGAACTGGGGATACTGGAGAGACTGGGATTGGGGACTGGGGACATTGAGGACACTGGGACTGGGGACATTGGGGACACTGGGACTGGGGATACAGGGGATACTGGGATTAGGCACTGGGGATACTGGGACTGGGGACACTGGGACTGGGGACACTGGGGATACTGGGACTGGGGACACTGGGACTGGGGACACTGGGGACATTGGGGACACTGGGAGAGACACTGGGGATACTGGGGACACTGGGATTGGGGACACTGGGGACACTGGGGGTACTGGGACATTGGGACTGGGGAGACTGGGATTGGGGACACTGGGACTGGGGGGACACGGAGGGATTGCAGGATGTCCCCAGGTGCCCCCAGGGATATCTCAGGTACCCCCAAGTGTGCCACAGCTGCCCCCAGGTGTATCCCAGGTGTGCCCAGGTGTATCCCAGGTGTGCCCAGGTGTGCCCAGGTGTGCCCAGGTGTGCCCAGGTGTATCCCAGGTGTGCCCAGGTGTATCCCAGATGTATCCCAGGTGTGCCCAGGTGTATCCCAGGTGTATCCCAGGTGTGCCCAGGTGTATCCCAGGTGTGCCCAGGTGTATCCCAGATGTATCCCAGGTGTGCCCAGGTGTATCCCAGGTGTGCCCAGATGTATCCCAGGTGTGCCCAGGTGCCCCCAGCTGTGCCCAGGTGTATTCCAGGTGTATCCCAGGTGTCCGCAAGGGGTATCCCAGGTGTATCCCAGGTGTGCCCAGGTGCCCCCAGCTGTGCCCAGGTGTGCCCAGGTGTATCCCAGGTATATCCCAGGTGCCCCCAGGTGCATCCCAGGTGCCCCCAGGTGCCCTCAGGTGTACCCCAGGTGTGCCCAGGTGGTCCCAGGTGTCCCCAGGTGTATCCCAGGTGCCCCCAGGTGCATCCCAGGTGCCCCCAGGTGCATCCCAGGTGCCCCCAGGTGCCCTCAGGTGTACCCCAGGTGTGCCCAGGTGGTCCCAGGTGTGCCCAGGTGTCCCCAGGTGTATCCCAGGTATATCCCAGGTGCCCCCAGGTGCATCCCAGGTGCCCCCAGGTGTATCCCAGTGTGCCCAGGTGCCCCCAGCTGTGTCCAGGTGCGTCCAGGTGTGCCCAGGTGGTCCCAGGTGTGCCCAGGTGTCCCCAGGTGTATCCCAGGTGTCCCCAGGTGTATCCCAGGTGTGCCCAGGTGTATCCCAGGTGTGCCCAGGTGCCCCCAGCTGTGTCCAGGTGCGTCCAGGTGTGCCCAGGTGTCCCCAGGTATATCCCAGGTATATCCCAGGTGCATCCCAGGTGCCCCCAGGTGTGCCCAGGTGTATCCCAGGTGTATCCCAGGTGCCCCCAGCTGTGCCCAGGTGTGTCCCAGGTGCCCCCAGGTGTGCCCACCTCTCTCGATGCTCTCGAACTCCTTCTCCTCGCCCGTCATGCGGGGGATGCGCGTGCAGGGGTGGGGGGAGCTGGTGGCCACCGCGTACACCTGGGGGGAGGGGACACCTCAGAGACCCCCGGGACCCCCCAAAATCCCCCGGGACCCCCCAAAATCCCCAGGACCCCCCCCGGAATCCCTCCCAAAATCCCCCAGGACTCCCCTGAGGCCCTCAAATCACCCAGGTGTGTTCTGGCCATACCCAGGCGTGCCCAGGTGTACCCTGGCCATGCCCAGGTGTGCCCTGGCCATGCCCAGGTGTGTCCTAAGCATACCCAGCTGTGCCCAGGTGTGTCCTGGCCATGCCCAGGTGTATCCTAAGAATACCCAGCTGTGCTCAGGTGTGTTGTGGCTATGCCCAGGTGTGCCCTGGTCATGCCCAGGTGTGCCCAGGTGTGCCCTGGCCATACCCAGGTGTGTCCTGGCCATGCCCAGGTGTGCCCAGGTGTGTCCTGGCCATACCCAGGTGTGCCCTGGCCATGCCCAGGTGTGTCCTGGCCATGCCCAGGTGTGTCCTGGCCATGCCCAGGTGTGCCCAGGTGTGCCCTGGCCATACCCAGGTGTGTCCTGGCCATACCCAGGTGTGTCCTGACCATGCCCAGGTGTGCCCAGGTGTGCCCTGGCCATACCCAGGTGTGCCCTGGCCATACCCAGGTGTGTCCTGACCATACCCAGGTGTGCCCAGGTGTGTCCTGGCCATACCCAGGTGTGTCCTGGCCATGCCCAGGTGTGCCCAGGTGTGTCCTGGCCATGCCCAGGTGTGCCCTGGCCATAC